CCTTTCCCAAGTGGCGACTCTGAATTAAATAAATAATCCCATTTCAAATATTGTCACTTAAATGAGAAAAACTCCCTCGCGCATTTATCCCTTTGGGGCGGGCGCGCAAAAAGGAGGTGCGACAATAACCAATCTCATTACTTAATTTGTTACGTAATAGAACACAAAAAACAAAATACACATGCACCAACAATGGTAGTATTGGAGTAGTAAACAATCATTCATTTAATCAAGGTCTAGGTTTCTAACCTTGTGTCTGAAGTATCTTTGTTAAAAGAACACTTTATCTTAAATTTAAAACTTTTTGGTGCGAGTGCAAAAATTTAATCGACCTCAATACGAACAACAGACACCACGGGAGAAACCAAAAAATAAAAAATTGGAGTAATAAACACATGCACATGATCTCATTACCCTAGGTAGCAAGCAAATCGTGGTCGGTGGTGCCACCTATAAAGCAACAAGAACATTGATACTGTGAGTGATGAATATGAAAGAGATCGGATCAATTTGTGTGCTTAGATCATAAGAGATATTGTGCTATAAATTATTAAACTTTTTTTTAAAAGCTTATATTAAAGAATTCAATCGTTGAATATCGGTAAAAATGCATATATCAGCAAATTTGCGACAGATACATCATATATACAAGGCGCGCGGGTGCCTTTCCCTTAATTTCTTGCATTCTTTCTTAATTATCTTAGGAATAGTCTTTCAATTATTTTATGGCTATGAAAGTGACAACTTAATTACGCGCTTTACATGCACTTTCTCAACCAAAAAATTGTTCCAAATAAAAAGAATTGATATGAAAGTCGAAGAGACGTGAATGAAATGGTAATGAAACCAGGGGCGTAGCCTCATAGAATGAAGGATGTTCAGTTGAATATTAATTGAAAACTATAAAAAAAATATATGTAAAATAATAGTACTATGTATATAGATAATTATATGATGCAAATATTTTTTACGAATACGTATTAATATAAACATATGGTTATCGCCCTTCTTGAGGAAAGTGAAGGGGCGGCGATCATATCTTTCCTGGAATTCTTTCAAAGTGCATTTCTATTTTCAGAGGGTCAGAATTAATTTGATTGGAGACTTGAGCATAGAGGAGTCAATTAATTATAGTCTAAGTCTACAACCATGTGATCCAACTCATCAAAAGTTTGAAGGGTTGAGTCAACAATATAATTTTCAACGGGGAACCCAAGTTCTCCTGCAGTCAAAAGTTTTGATTTCAAGGGTGTTTTTGGTACGAAAGAAAATGTTTTTTATGCAAAATATTTTCCTGGAAAATGAGTGGTTTTATCACTTATTTTCTCTTGTTTGGTTGGTGAGTGAAACTTTTTCCGAATAATATTTTCTAGTGTTTGATTAGAGAGTATAAAATATTTTTAGGAAAATAATTTTTTATGCTATTTTCCTCAATCCACCTTCCCCAAAATCACCATGTTTCTTGTACTCCTTCTCCCCTAGACTCTATTTTTTTCAATAATTTAATTTTTCTTTTTTAAAATTCACACAAACCCAGAAGAAGTAATATTTACTTTTTCACACAAGCGCAACATTAAAATTTGAGCTCGATAATTTTAAAAAATACTTTATTTTATTGAAAAAGAAAGTATCTTTTCTACAACATAAAAAGAAATTACTCATTTTGTTGAATGAAAAAAAATACTTTTTTCTACATCATAAAAAGAAAATACTCAGTTCTTTGAAATGAGAATATATTTTTTCTACATCATGAAAAGAAAGTACTCGTTTTGTTGAAATGAAAGAAATTACTTTTTCTATATCATGAAAAGAAAGTACTCGTTTTGATGAAATGAAAGAAAATACTTTTAATACATCATGAAAAGAAAATACTCATTTTGTTGAAGTAAAAAAAGTACTCTATTTACCACATAAAAAGAAAGTATTTTTAATAATAGTTCTATGTAGGGTGGGTGGTGGGCAAGTT